GGCTCAAGACCACTTGACTTGGATTATCTGAGACTAGATGTCTGGCTCAAGACCACTTGACTTGGATTATCTGAGACTAGATGTCTGGCTCAAGACCACTTGACTTGGATTATCTGAGACTAGATGTCTGGCTCAAGACCACTTGACTTGGATTATCTGAGACTAGATGCCTGGCTCAAGACCACTTGACTTGGATTATCTGAGACTAGATGCCTGGCTCAAGACCACTTGACTTGGATTATCTAAAAGACTGGATTCCAGTGTTCTTCATTGGTAAATCTAGATTTTGTCATCAAGCCAGTTTGAAACAATCTTAAGAATGCTATCATAATGATGGTGTAACTAGAGCTGGTTAATTAGTGATATTTACTCTTTGATTAATCATCAGGTTCATTCATCAATCAGATTCAGCTAATCAATTATTCACAAAATGGCTAAAAAAACAAACTTGTAATGCAAAGTGAGGTTTCAATATATTCAGTGAGCAAAGCACAGACAGCTCATTTTGTAGCTTTGCGTTTAACAATAAACATAAAGGTTTACATTTTCCTATATCAAAAAATGTATTTCCAATAATATTTACCTCCTCTTACAATTTAAATACATTTCTGGTACAGGAAAATGTAACCTTCTGAAACACACTTAGCTCCTCTCACACTGACCAGGTAGAGGGGCTGGTGAGGGAAAGATCCACACAGAAAACATCTGTGTAGAAAAATAGGTGTGCAAAATTAAGATATAATAAAGCACACTAGAGGGGTCCGTATTACTTCTGGAACAGGCATGCTCTTTGCCTAGATAAAGTGAAATCTAAACATGGGCAGTAAAGGCCAACCAGCATTAATATTGTTCATTATCATGATGTCGTCCAGGCCTAGGCCACACAGACGAGGTTCCAAAACTGCAGTCCACAGCAAAGGATACTGCAAATCAGGCTTCTAAATCACAGAATATATTTTCTATTTTACCTTGGGTGAAAAGAAATATAAAATATGCAACTATTAGCTAGTTACTATGGTTACATGTCCTCTATTACTTCTTCTGTTCTCGCTGACAAGTGATCCACAGCAAAATTTTAGTAGAATAATATTTAACATATTATTCAAACACAGCTGAAAAATGGTGATATTATTATTTAACACATTTAACACACCTGTACTCGAAACTTCCACATCTTCCCAACTTCAATGCCAGGTACAGAGCCAAAGTGGTTGGGAGGAACCAGCGTACATTCTCTAGTTCTACCAACACAAGCCATTCCTTTACCCCAGTCCCGGCTAGATGCAGAATTAGCAGAAGCCATCTTCGCTTTCTTTTTACTCTCTTTCAACTTCTCTCCTGCTCGTACAACTTCTGTTTCATCATTTTTACATTCTGGGCAGTACCTACACAAACAATTAATAGAACTTTTCATTCTGACAGAAGTTCCTAACTTAGTAAAGAAGTGTTGTGATGCTAATTTACAACCTTTTCAATTTCTGTGCACATAGTCACTACTTTAAAATATACAACAAGTAAAAAATGTTAACTAAAAATTCTTTACTTTTTAAATGTACTACATACTGGAACAATGGGAAAGGTATTATCAAAAGTAAGTTCTGAGCAATTATATAAAAGCTTACCACTCTTCAACATCAGGCACATCGTCAAGAGATGGAGTAAGGCACCATATGTGGTAAGACATATCACACTCATCACACATGACCTGCTTCGCTGGCTCATCCTTTCCTCCACAGATGTGGCAACTACAGAAACGACACTTTCTGCTGGCAACATCTTTACATTGAGAGCAATCGGGTTTCACTTGTCCTAAATGTTACAGCTTGTCATTAAATATTAGTAGCATATTTACAGTTATATATAGCAATCAGGTTTCACTCGTCCTAAATGTTAGAGCTTGTCATTAAATATTAGCAACATCCTGACAGTAATAATATCTATGCATTTGCCTTAAATCTTAGCAATATCTTTACACGAAAATATCAGGTTTTAAATACAAGCATTTGTTAGTAAGGCTTTGTAATCTGTTTTTGGTGATTCAAATGAGGTTTTACTTTGCCTGAATGTAAAAAAGAAAACTTGTTACCAAATTTCTTACATCATCTGAACAAACACTACTGAAGTATCGATAACAGCAAGGGTATACAACTGGAGTATAAATGAATTCTAATCATTACAAATTTTCATTTTCCAACAATGTATACTCCTTGTTAGACCAGCATATTTGAATAGGTATAATACATTTTTAAAGAATGCAAAACAATGAGGTTAGGAAGCATTTTGGAGAAAATTCCTTTCAAATGAAATAAGATTAAAATTCTTATTGCTTAATCTATATCAATTTCTGAAAGATAAATATATTGAGAAAATAAATGTACACTGTTATTAGCACAATTGTACATAGAAAAACCTTTTTCTTTCTTTTGACAAATGTTCCCATAATTAGTTTATAATTATTAAGTTTACGGTTTTTGTTGAATATTGCAGAAAGCTACTAGAGAGCCATCTTACCGAGGTTCTGGGGAATACCATAGCGTAAATCTACGACAAATTATTAGTAAGAGAAACTGACATATTAGGAGCAAAATAACAATGATAAATATACTCTGAACTTTCATAAAATATAGTTCAATTAGAAACAATACTGACAGATTGTGAAAGTGAACAATACTGATAGATTGTGAAAGTGAACAATACTGATAGATTGTGAAAGTGAACAATACTGATAGATTGTGAAAGTGAACACTAATGACAGATTGCTAAAACAAGCAATATTGATAAATTTTCAAAATGAAAAATACCAATAGATTAAATCAGGATTACTTAGTAGAGTATAATAGGAAATGTCTCAATTGTATAATACAATAACATTACTTTTAGCTGGTTATACCATTGTATAATACAATAAACTTACTTTTAGCTGGTGATTCCATTGTATAATACAATAACATTACTTT